TCTCATAAATCAGGTGAATCAAAAGCCCAAATGCAATGCCTTTCCATTTTCCCTCTAAGATTTATTTTTTCTAACTTGAAGTTCAACTCTGTTTTCAAAAGAGAGCATTAGTCTCCCATAACCTACTTTATTTTCAGCATTAATATCATTGTCATCGCAATGGTGGACAGGATTACTTTTAATCTATAATCTATTACAAACTACAGCCAGACTTTGTTTACTATGTAATCTATAATGCAATCTGTTACATTTCTCCAAATAAGAAAATGAAGACTTGGAGTTTGAAGAAAGCAGATTGTTTGCTCAAAGTGTTCCACAAACTTAGACCCCTTAATGTAATGCCATCTAATGGCCTAGAGGATTCATGCATACTGAATGACTGCAAATATCTTTGAATTCAGTGATGAGGGGTTATTTCAAGTTCTAGAGTAACAGGGCCATCTGTAACAGTTTTTAAGGTGATATTATTAATTTTGTAAACTGAATTGAAAATAATTTTAATCAGCTTTGTGAAGTGGAATTGCTCCAGCTGCCTTCTGAAATAGCCATTTTAGTTTTGCTGTTTCCCAATAATAAAACTAGCAAAAGCAATATCCCATTAATGGTCTTCTTGTTAAGAATTCTATGAAACTCTTCTTTAGGTGTGTAGAAGCCTAATACTATCTATTAGCAGAAAGATAAAATGCAACAAGCCAAAAAGTAGAAATCTCAATTAAAAGTGGAGTATCATTAGGCTCAATGTAAGACACAGACATATTTTTTATTTTTGACTAGTTTGAGCATGACTATGTGTCACAGAAACAGTACAGTTTGAGAAAGGACAGAATTTAAAACAGCCCTTAAATTTAAAGATGTTCATATGAAAATCCAGGATTACACCTTTGCTAAGATGAAAATTGGTGCTTAATGTCGGTGTGAAATAAAAGTGTAATAATGATCAGCTATTCATTGTGAAAACTAACCTGAAATGAATAATTGGTTAGTAGAGTCAGTTACTGATCAGTATTACAGGTTTACTGCGCACAGGTATTAAGCACTGATTAATGCTGAATCTACACATTAGAATCTACTTCTCTTTCAAATTGCTCCAATGAACAGGGTTATATTTATATTCTAAATAAAGGTGATGTTCAATCCTGTAGTGAAGTCAGCCTTGAAAAAAGTAGTCACGTATCAATAATGTGCATGTTTATCAGAGGGGGTAAAAAATTAGAAATTTATCTCTTCTAAAACTGTTAATTTATGTCTAAGAGCACTGTTTCCTCTTAGGCTGGTGTTCCAGAAATAAAATATTATAGGTTAATCAAAAACAGTCATTTAGAAGGTAAAAGCTGTTAAAATCTCATTCCAATCAGAAGCACAAATTGCTTAGAGTGAGTCTTCTTGATGTGAGCTGCATTACTCTTTTAAAAACAAAAGAAAAGCTTACGAACCAGAGGAGGCCATCCAGCCCACCTAGCGCGTTCAGTAATTAATCCCAAATTCGGGATTTTCTTTTTTCTGTGGATCCTACTTTGAAGAATGTGAGTCATAATATTGTCACAACCAGTTTTTTCTCATTAATGCAATTTCACACTGTTTTCTGTAGCACATTCTGTTCAATGAACCAACACCAATGCACAAGCCTCTCGTATTAGAAATCAGAAGATACTAAATAACATGCATTTCAGAAAACATATGAAAATATGCAGAACAATGCTTTGTTTTGAATACAGTGAAATAAAAACTGTTTGCCCTCCTGCATATTACGCCTAAATTTAAACAAAGATACGACAACATTTGAAAGCAACAATAATGCAATATATCACATACAGACCTTAATACAACTAAATTGCAAAACCTGATTTCATGCATCTGCGATGGACTGTCCCATCCAGGGTGTACCCTGCCTTGTGCCATGTGCTTGCTGGTATAGGCTCCGGCTCCCCCACAACTCCAAATTGAAAGAAGCATTTAGAAAATGGATCAATGGATGTCATGTATGTTTGTGACATTTAGTAGCAATTGTTATACAAAGACATGAACACGATTTGTCCAATAAAAAATTCTCCCTAAGGGTTCTCTCAAATAGAGCCATCTCACCGGATTCAAAGTGCTGAACTTTTGGGCAGTTTCTCCATTCTGTGTATCCCTATGCTGCATTTCATAATGCATCTCTTTAAGCCTTTTCCTCTTCTGAAATGCTGTTGTTCACTTGGCTCTATGCATCAGGTGATTATGACACTTGTGACATGCAATAGTTAAAAGACAGCTGTCTCCTCCATGTTTAAGATCTGAAAACAGTCAAAGTTATTTGAATGTGAAGTCCAATGGATCTACAGTATGTGATGTTAGGTGAAGAGAGAGATGAGATGATCCAGGGAAGCTGCAGCCATGCAATGAGGGGTTGCGTAGTGCTGAGCATGCAGGAAGACGTGGTGCTGTGCCAGAGGATCAGGCAGAAACACAGTCCAGCAGTGCAGTCTAGCAAAGCAGGGTTTACATGGCATCAAATCAAGGTCATGAAATAGAGAAAGCTCTAGAGCACAAACTCTATAGCAGAGAGGATCTTAAATATCCTGAGTCCACCAGAGGTGGGTGTGGTTGCACATTGCCTGCAGGTGATTCAGGCTTCCTGTCACAACATGTTTCCACCACAGCTGGCACTGAGTGACAGCTGTGGTTGGCTGCCAAGGCAAAATCCAGCTCACTCTTCACTCCGCAGTGTTTCAGTGTGAGTGAGTCGGACATTAGATGTTTATTTTTTCATTTTGTCATCCCAAACCCTAAAGGCCTGCCTACCCCCCTGAGACAGGAGTCCTGCAAGGCTGCTTTATCCACGATGTCCCTCTTGGATCCATGGCAGTGATGCAGCAGCCAACTCAGATTGTACCCAGCCTGGGCACCATCTGGACATATGGGGAGGGGAATAGGATAGTTTGGTCAGATCAGATGTATTTACCTGGTGGGCCAACATATAGAAACACAATGGCATGTACTGTACAGCAGCACCAGCAGCCATGGTTGCAGCAGGCTATAATGTAATCCTTCATACAATAATGAATGGTCTAGATTAATTCCATTCCGACAAAAAGTGGCTCCTTTTCCGTTGGCTTTTACGTTAATAACTTTCTCATTAAAAGACTCGCTTTTATAACATATTGTACAAAATAAACTGCGTTTTCTTAGGGGTCATGGAAAACTATTCTAAAAACTAAACAGTATTTAAACGTGTAAAACACAATATTGGTTAGATTTTGCACGTTTTTTACAATTTACTCCAACTATGTACTATAGTACAATATAAATAATGTTAATAAAAGGTTGATGATAAACGTTATCAATCTTAATAGTTCAAGTCTAATAAATACCGTACATCTTAAACCTTTAATGCATACTTTAAAAGGGTTCGCCAGGCTAACGGTAACCGTAAATTCAAGTCAAATTAATCTGAAATAGAATGATCTTGCAATAAGAGAAATCTAGAACTACTTTTTGTTTAGTTTATAAACCCGGATACTCTACATTCCGTTGCCCTCGCTCTCCCACGATCAAGTTAAAAGGTGTTCAGTCTTGTCGGACACTAGTTTGGTGCATACCGGTAAAGAAAGGAACTTCTTTACTCTTTCGTTGTTGCGCAAATTTGCTGTAATCTAGTGCTTAGACTTCCTTCTCCATAGGCAAGAACTAAAGAAGTGGTTATGCCCCCAAGCGACATTTTCTATATTGCATGACCGTGTTTTCTCATATTTTTATTTATTTAGGTTCACATTATGTCAGTCCAAACAATACAGAGACGTACAGTAACATAAAGCACATAACTACATATATTTACTACATAGTTTAAAAACAAATGGGTGTATATACAGTACCTGAAAAACACAAGGTTTACACAAGGTTTAAATTGATAAAACAACGAACGTTTCAATAAAGTAACGAAATAGCCTTACTTTATTCTAAAATTTAAACAATTCAATATATTATAGGACAAGAAGGAAACGTGGTTTCATAACAATATGGACCAGTGCCTGTCTTCTGCTGTTTAGAACGAAATGTAATATTTACCACAGCGTCGTAAATATTTTCAAAAACAACATGCTCGCTGTGCTTCAAGTATTTGAAACCTGCTTTAAATGTAACCACTGCACAGTCAACAAAAAAACGTTTGGTGTACTGTGGTTACATTACTTTCTAAATAGTTTAATAAAAACGACATTAGCCCGCAACACAATTCTTTTTTTTTATAACCTTAACCTTCCTTTTTCAGTCGCGTTTTACGTTATGGTTCAACCACCCGAAAAGCTCTTAAACGTATACAGTATACCGCACACGTAGAAATACGCAGTAATAAAGAAATCCTGAATGATTACATTCCTCCTAACACATAGTGCAAACTAACCACCCGTAAGTCAATAGATACCATAAAGCATTAATCCGAAAAAAAGGACACATTGCACGGCCAGGTGTGCATCCCCGACGTGCTCCGCGACAAAGGTCTTCGTGAACTTCACACATAGTTGTAATTGTGGTCAATTATAGTGCCCTGAAGACAGATTTTTTTTGTCTGCAAATGTAAATCGAAAGATTTTTTTACTTGTTAAAGCAAATATTGTTTCTGAATCCTATTAAAACACCTTTTAAGGCAAGGGGGTTTCGATGTGGGTATAGGCATGAATTACATGATAAAATGACAGCTTTTAAACAGCTAAGAGTACATTTCAATATGTAAGTTTACGATCATGTTTCAATCTTATTTTAGCTGTACAGTTGTATCTGCAAACGTTATCCATTTTCTAGTTTAATTCTGCGGGAAAAAAAAACTAAAATAGCATATTACACACAATTAGGGTGCAAGATAAATGGAATTATGCAACAAAACCGCTTTTTGTTCCACTAATTATCTCCTCTTTCAAGCTGCTTTTTTTCTCCTACAAAATTAAATTCAGCGGCTGATAATTATCTCTGGGCTCGCTCACGGCGGATGGGTACGCGCATCGTACGTGAATGCTGCTGGGAGCGAGCGGGCCACGGGGACGCGCGTCACGTGACCGCGATTTGGTTTCTGCTTCTTAACTATAGTCTGAGTGACTACAGAGAGAGAAAGAGATTTCAACAGCTGTTGGACCTACTCTGAAACTAAACCCGAGCGAGCGATTGTTCGAAATCGGATCTGCCTGGCCTGTTGTGGAACTTTGCCTGGTCGCCCTGGCAAGACCAGCCCGCGGATTCATTGCTTTGATTCAACTGGGATTCTAATTGGGCTCGACAATGAACTCTGATGGAGTGAGCCGGTTTGGATGGCAGAGCTGGGAATGAAGCAGCAGCTCAGTTTCCGTTTCTTTGTTTCCCTTTCTAGGGTGCAATGAAGATGCGTGGCGAGTTAAACTAGTTGGGCATCCCTGTTCCCTCCCTCTCTGCTCGTTCGGAAGCAGCGTGCTGCTAAATGCCAGAGTAGGCAACCAGAGCGGTTCTGCGGGGCCAAACAGTGACGGTGCGGTGGCGTGGAGTTGGGACTTTGCTGTACTAGTCGCTTTTTAAGAGGAAAGAGACGGATGCAATCCCCGAAAGGTGAAAAGTGTTTTCATACACATTAAAGAGACTGAAGCGGCGTGTTTGGACAGAGAGAGAGAGAGAGCTGTGCTCCCGTCGTGGATTTTACGCGTCGCTGGCTGGATGTCTGTTTGGCGACTCGTGCTGTGGAACTTCAATAAAGGCTCAAGTCCACGGGAGGCACGCAGGCACGCGCTGTGGAGCCACCATCTCCCCTCAACTTGGAGATCAAAGTTGGCTCCGGCTTGCGTCGTCGGTTTATGACCTAATTGTTGCTGCAGAGGGTCGCAGCACTGCCCCGTGAAAGTTGTAGACTGCCGGCCAGCGCGTTACCGTTGTTGTAGGACAGGGTACGGGACGCGTAGTTTCCCCTCACTGGCTTCTGCAAGTCGTCTCTCCCTTTCGCCGGGGCTGTAAACGAGCTGCCAAGAAGAACGACATGCTCTAGACGCTGAAACAGAGGACTGCACGATATTCAGTATTTGCAATTTTGAAGCCTGTTGTCCGAGGATTACAGTTGTACCTGGCTGGAATTAAATCACGGCTAACCTCGCCTGGCTCTTGTGGCTCGCTGCGATCCGGGGCTTGAGGGGGATGCTGAAATAACAAGGAGTAATCGTCAATCGTGGGCCCCTAGCAGGATATCTTAGAGGAACTTTTCCACGAGTGTAGTTTCCCAGTTGCGGCAATTTCGACCCCGCAAATTTGCGTGCCTTGGTTTGGTGGCAGTGAACCCTCGCCAGCCCTGACTGATATGGACATTAAATGGAGTTAGCTGCCATTACATTCCCTGGTGAAGTTCAAGAACGCCTCGTGTAAATACTCATTCATCTTGTCCAACTTCAGGCTCCAGAAGTGCGCATTCCACCGTTCAAGAGTATTTTTAAACAGAAAAGAGACCGGTTTAAAAGCATCACTGTGGATTTATTGGAATGTCTACGATGACAATTAGACGGATTGGCCGCGGAACTCTTGAGCTGTTTTTCGTGGCGCTGATTACAAGTGGTGAGTGCTTTCTTTGGTATTATCAACATGCTAAACAAAGAAAACATGTAACAGATGTGTAAGACAAACGCCAAATGAACGAGTGATGGCTTCGGGAGGAGAAAATGGGTTGGGGAGGCACGTTTTGCATGGTCATTTGTGGAATGCGATATTTTTGTAAGACTCTGGCTGCATAGCTCGCTTTCGTAAATCCTCATTGATCATTCCCTGCATGTTTTTCAATACAGGGGGGAGATAAAAGCGAAGAACCTCTCAATGCATTGCACATAATCTCTTGGCGTTTTTATGCGCATTACTTCAAGGTTGTAACACGCTTTTCTGTGCTTGGTCTTTTCTAGTATTTTTTTACATGGAATCGGTGTGTATTGTGCTATAATTCTCTGGGGTCACTGCAGTTTGGTGGTGGTTTATATTTTACTGCCACTACTTGAGAGAGCCAGTCGGTAGTTTTCATCTACCGCACGTAGGAGAACTTGCAGACAGTTTGTGATGGTTGGGAGATGCCCGGCCCTATTTGTCAACGTACGGGATAGGTGGTGGTTTGGGCGCGGATGATAGTTGGGCATCTTCAGCAGTGGGTAACGATACCCCCCCACACGAACTCCAGGATTTGACGGTACACGCAGGCTGCTCTCTCTCTCTCCACAAGGTGGGAGCACGGCTGTGCTCAGTTGCCTCTGCCGGTCCACGCTTGAGGATTGGAAGCAAGGGCCGTGAGAATGAACTCTGGCGTCTGACACGACCCCGAGCCGTGAAATTCCACACCCTCACCGTGTTGTGATAATATGAATATCGATATTAATAAAATATCGTGTAGAGTTGAACTGAATTTAAATACCCCGTGCTGGAATGGAATCACTGTCTCCTTCCAGGTCTGTCTGATTGTTTCAGGATTCTGGATAAACCGAAATGAAGACAAATACATTTATTAACATACAAAAAATATATTAAAATAGCCAGATGATAGAATCTACTAATTTTGGAAATAAGACTGCGTATAACCTACTTGACATTTAATGGATTTAGCAAATAAAAGCCCACCCAACGTAATTTTATGTCTGTGTTTTAGAGGCTTCATTTTTAGTAACGTGCGAGTGGATTCTCTGCTTTAATGCTAAATTTCAGAATTAACGGAATCACATTTAAAAATCGCTTGATTCCGGGGCTCGCTGTTTTTTTAAAAAAGTACCAGGAATGATTTACTAAAGTTGGCATACAATCTAGTAATTAGTTGAGCAAATTTGGGGCATCTTCCTCAAATGTAGGGATTTCAGATCTTTTCGGTTTCTTCTTCTTGTCGCGTCTTTTAGTAGTTACTGGCATGTGAGAGTTGTAATTCGGGTGTTTATATCTTGAATAGTAACTTTTTGTTACTCGTGAAACGGAAACAAGTCAACAGCACAAGATGCTGCTCCGCTTCCATGTAGCAAGTTCTCAGGATGCAGAAAGTCCGATTTGATGCGCTGTGTTTCACCAACGTTTATTTGATTTGAATTGTAAATTCACTGTATGTTAAACTGTAATCTTTGTTGCAGTTTTCCCCCCACTATAGAGTATAGGCGGTCATTGCTATCCGTGTACTGTAAAGGCCACAGTCGGTCATCCAGTCTTCCATCCACAGGTACGGCGCAGCAGTCATTGCAACTTTTATTAATTTGGTGCTTCCAGCCAAATTGTCTTTTGCTCAAGGCTGAACTTTGAAATATATTCGTGGACTTTATTGTGGTACGTCATCTCTAGGGCGAGTTGAGAATAGATCTCACGAATGTTTGGCTGCGCACAGCAACCGTATAGCAAGTTTTATGTCCTGTACAAATCTTTCGGCGGCAGAAGGTTTATGAAATCTCCAATAATTGTATCTGATCGAGCTCGGTTTTATGCACATCATGTTTGTACAAGCAGGAACTCGTTTTTTTAAATGGAATATTGACAGAAGGAGATGTCATATTAAGGACTGTTCAGAGGTACTGTATACCATTTTAAGAGAAGAATAATAACGCTTCTCAGTTGAGGGATTTGTTGGCACAGCGCTCTCTGGAATCCAATTCTGGAGAAGTTACGAGGTAGTTCGCAGATGCTGTGGCCGTGTACTGTAGAAGACAAAATGACAAACCTTTTGCAAACAAGTGGTTATTAAAGTCTTATCGTGTAAAATAACGGTGTAATTTGTGTTGTTTTAAATTTCAGCACATCTGTTAGTTTAATTCCCGTATACAATCGGTTTTCTTTATTCTGTTGCTTTTTGAAAGCTTGGACCAGTCTTCTTTCTAATGCAGTGTGTTCAGGTACTTCCCCAGCTCCTGTACTGAGCACTGTGCATTCTCCCTTTCGTAAGAGCTACTGAGGCAATCTATCATACAATACTGAATATTGTTAGCTCCAATGCTCTTAAGGTTTTTATGTCTCCTGACTCTTGCCTTCAGGTAAACAATTGATATTAAAAAATGCATCTGGAGCAAGCTGGTAAACTGAATTGATGAATAAAATTATTTAAATGGTAAATTCACAGCTGGTAAGGAGATGAAATAATTGAGCTGTTTGTATGATAACCAGTGTGTAAGATCGGCCTTATTCAATGATTGATTTATGCTTTAACCTCTCAGCCTTTAATATTAAATCCTCAGCCAGTCTCCTTATTCAGACAGACACTCTCTCAAGCTGCACTTTGGAAGTTCTGTCCAGTCACAGCTCTGCGTTATTTGCAAGTAACTCCACGTATTTCAGTTTTTCTGAGAGAAATAGGTCTGCAAGAGGCAGTGCTGGTTTTAAAAAATGGGCTGTGTAATAAACTGACAACTTTAATAATTTTATTTAAGATTTTACTCTTTTTTGGGTCATGCTTAGTGCATACAGTAGATTATATATAGTATGGTGAGTGAGGACTGTACAGGAAGTATATGAGTTTTGTGTATTCTGCCAAATGTACTGTAATGTAGTCCAGAGCCCAGCTGGGAATTTTCCCTAATAATTTGTTAGCCTTTTTTTATTATTAATCTCCAGTGCATTGTGCTGCTAACAGTGAGGTTTTGCGGATTTTGAAATGTCCAGATTTCTTGGGTATTGAATGGCACAATCACAGTGTGCAAAGAAAAACATTCTGCATAGAAATTTATATTGGAGGACCAAACACGATGTCGTGCTGTGTACCCATGCAGAGAATGCTACAAGTAAAACAGAAAATTAAATTAAAATGAAAAATTCAGTGGGAAGGATCAAGTCAAAGTTAATTCAACACGGTAAAATAGACAAAAACGCAGAAAAAAATACAGCCAACATATTGCTCCTTGATGCATGTAGAAAGGTAAAAGAAGGGTTACTTTGTTCTATTTCATGCATGCATGGTTTCGTGGTTTGTGCGTGAGGGCAGGGAGAGGCAGACTCAGCTTTGCACAACGCAGGAAGTGGGCGAATTGTGGGCGAATCTCTCCCAGAAAGTTCTGCATTCTGGTTGAACAGTGGCTCTGGGGCTCAGGATCTGCGCCTGTGGCCGGAAGGTTACCAGTTCAAATCCCACGGCCGGCAGAGGAATCCTACTCCGTTGGGCCCTTGAGCAAGGCCCTTAACCCCAACTGCTCTAGGGGTGCCGTATAAATGGCTGGCCCTGCGCTCTGACCCCCAGCTTCTCTCCCTGCCTGTGTGTCTCATGGAGAGCAAGCTGGGGTATGCGGAAAGACAAATTCCTAATACAAGAAAATGTATGTGGCCAATAAAGGGATCTTATTATCAGCTGAGGACCAACCTCCTGGCCACAGGATGAGGAGGGTGGGACCCCCTGCAAAGAGGAGTGACCAAAGGGCAGCTGCAGAGGGGGAGATGGGGAGAATGAGGGATGCAAGCGCTGAATGTGAGAGAGGGACGGTGCTTACATATATATGACATGTATTTTTTGCCATGAGGAAATGATGTCAGCAATGATTGCGAATTGAACTATTGAACTTGTGTGCGTCTGGTCTGGTTATAAACTCCAGTTTTTCCTTTGTATCAATGTACACTGATGTGGTTTCCCACTCATACCTCTAAAACCTCTAAAAACTGACTGTACCCTTTCTATATAAGAGATGATGGGATTGGTGGTTTCAGCATGAGCCTTTCTGCTTCAGAAATGAATCATTGGATCATTAGTGGGTGATGACTGGGGCAGCTTTAGTGATCCAGTGTTGGATGGTGGCAGAAAGACTTTGGTGGACATGTGACATTTTTAAAAGTATTGTTGTGATATTTTTACACCCTCCACTTAGATCAATAGTTGTACCCCCTATACACCCCCTAAATGGAGACCAGTCAGAATAATTTCAACCAATGTCATAATTATCGACAGCATGAGAATATCATTTTTTTAAGTCTATAGACTAGCCATTACTGAGGGTCTTCAGAGACCAAGTCTAGACCATAGAAGGCCTGGAAAAATCAATTCAATCAAATCTACAATGATCATTTGGTTTAATCAATACTGCTCTTATTCCCCAGAGGTTCATTGAGGGTTTGCTGCCCTAGCACAATTGTGTCCTGTACTTAATTATAATCCTGATATTGCTATATTGTTCTGATGTCAGTTTGCACTGCTGACTTGAAAAGGGATCACCCAGTCTATGATGAGAAACACAAAAGGATTGCCAATCAACCTGAAAGTAACTGAAGAACACATTCCCTTCTCTGGAGAAAATAGCTGTAGCTCCTTTGCCCTGAATGTGGCCTATTCAGGTGAATGGTAGTATTTGGAGATGCTAAGATTCCTGATGGACTGTGAGCCACAGTGCATGGTTTCATCAGGGCTTGGTGTAGTTAAATATCCTTTTCAGAACACATTTGGCTTAAATCTCTTTAAATTACAAATCTCTTTTTTGCCAGTGTCCTGTAAATGAAGAATGAACCAAGGTTTTGTTATGATAAGTTTCTGAAATCCTGAGAAGAATACTACTGGTACAAGAGGAGCATATGCCCTCTGTGGTGTGTATCACTCGAAGATGGAAAGTGTATTGAGCTTTTGAATCGCTCACATA